AGCCGCCAGTGCTGCAGGCCAGCCGGGGAGCAGGGCCCTGCCGTGGCGTGGCTTGGTCCCATAGTTAGCTTGACTGCAGCACCCCCCGGAACCTGGGCACCACACTTAACACTGAGCATTGGTTCTGACAAACGGGCCGGCGATTCCTGCCTGACCTCCCACCTCAGGTTCTTGTGAAGGTGAGGCAGGATAAGCATGAAAGGCCATGACCCCACCCAGTGTCTTCACAGAGAGGGTGTGCAGAGCCTTTTGCGTGCTTGTGTGTGTGCACATGTGTGCACGCAGCAACTTGTACAGCACTGTGACGGGCGCTGCTGACAGTCCCATGACATAGCGAGTGACAGGTCTGCAGGGAGCTGGCATGTGCCTGCGTGGCACGCTGTTTTGTGCCGTGGGTGTGGCAGGGCCTCAGGCAAGGTTTCCAGACCTAGTACCATTCCAGACGTACCATGGCCAAGGTTCCCGAGCTGCCCCTCTGCCTCAGATTTCACTACGTGCCCTGGAAGCTCCACCCTGGTGCTGTGTGTGTCCCAGTGACCACATGTGCACCTGTGCGGGACTGGCTGTGAGAGACTGTGACAGAACACCAGGGTGGGAGGCTGTGGCTGGGACAGTGTCACCAGGAGTGAGCTGGCGGCTGAGCCTGACTCAGTTGTGGCTGCCCGCCTCCATGTGGGCCCTGAGGCAGGAGCAGCTCCCTCAGGGCAGGTCTGGGCTGTTTGCTCAGTGAGGCTGGCAGGGCTGTGAGACCTGCCCTGGGCAAACACTTAGATCCGGCTCCAGATGGGACTGCCACTGGAAAGGACAGTCCCTCTCAAGGCCAGACCAGCCCAAGGGCCTCAGAGAGCTCTGTCCTGGGCCCTTCCTGAGGGCTGTGGAACCCCCTCTCCACACTGCTCCCTCCTGGTGACATCATACAGGTCACAGCCCAACCTTCTAGAACACTGCCTGTGGACACTGCACTGTTGCCCTGGACAACCTGGGACTTCGCTCCACATAAACTGGCAGGCAGGGTTACCCCGGAGGAAGGGGTGGGAGGACAAGGGGCCAGGGGAGGAGGGCCTTCTCATCTCCAAGAGGGGAGACCGAGGCAGCCATCCATCACTCTGACAGATGGTGAGGAGGCATGGGTGCCCAGGAGCGTCAAGATTTGTGGACCTCTCGTTGTCCAGGTCACTGAGCAGGTGGGAGACACAGGAGGAGGCTGCATCTTGAGCCTGGGAGGGTGCAGTGACTGTGCCGAGGGCACCCACGTGCGAGTGGAGGGGCAGTGTGTAACAGGCAGGAGCCTCAGGTGAGGAGCAGGAGGCCTAGCTTTTTCTTTCTTTGTCCCTAAAGCTGGGCCTTTTTTTTCCCCACCCCGTACAGTACAGTGACAGAGTGGGCCAGATCCTGGTGGTCAGGGTCTTCAGTTCCGGTGGAGGAGTTGAGGAGAGTGCTGGGGGCCAAGTAGGTGCCCAACCCCTGTGGGGTCTGTGTGCTGTCTCTTGGGGGGCAGTGAGCAGTGGTATAAATCTCTCTAGATGACGCCACCCCATTCCAGGAGTCACAGTCCCCTTCTGGGCTCTGACTTGCTGTACAATCGGGGCTCCTGTATTTACAGATGTCTTGTTTCATCTGGCAACTCTGCTTTGGTGCTGCGTGTGACCTGGTGTGACCAAGGGTGTCCCCAAGCCTCGAGGGCCTCAGCCACTCTGTGTGAGGGCAACCACTCTGTGCGAGGGGCATGTGCGAAAACCCAGGCTTGCTCAGCGCTCTGGGTGTCGGGTGCCTAGTCCTCACATTCCCACGAGGCTTCTCAGTTTTCTAAGCACCTTCTCATCGGCTCTTACCTTCCGCCCCCACTCTGACTACCGCTCAGTGATGTTCAGGAGCTGGGACTGGAGAGAAGCCAGACCTGGGCTCTGTCCTGGGGCTCAGAGGGGTGCCTCGATCCACCCCCTGTGGCCAGGCTGGCTGGCCTGCAGCTGGACAGAAAGGCATCTCCTATCCTCCTCAGCTGTGGCAGGAAGTGCAGTGGACAGTGAGGGTCGTGGTGGGCAGGCTATCTTGTTTACTCTTCCATGAGAATCTTACTAACCATCACATCAAGATGTTACCTTAACCCTTTCTGTCGGGCCCACGCACTTCTGAACAGCGTATTCCTCCCCGCCCCACTCCCACCCCCATTAAACTGCTGGTTACTTATCTGGGGGGTGAAACAGGCACATGCGTGACCCTTTTCATTGCAGTCATTTTCAGAGGGTATTAGTATTCCCAATGAGGAAACTGAGGCTCAGAGAGGGCACATCACTTGTTTCCAGTCATGCAGCCAGGAGATGGTGGAGCCAGGATTTGAACCCAGGTCCACAGGTCCTGTGCACTGCCAGGTGGGGGGAAGCAGTGGCAGCAGTCCTCCTCCCAGGCCCCCCACCCCAGCCCTCCTGGGCTCACTCTCCTGTCCTCGAGCAGATAGAGTCCTTCTCTCTGCTGCTCAGGGGTGATATGAGACAGGATATGAGTCTGTTTTGTCATGTTAGAGGACATTATGAGCCCCAGAGCAGGAAACACTGCAGTTTTTTTTTTTTTTTTTTTTTTTGGGGGGGGGTGGGGAACGACAAGCAAATGATGAGTAGAATGGGATAAAGCCTTTCCACCCAGCCCAAACTCAGGACCCAGTGGTGGGCCCAGCTCAGGGCATACCACCTGAGCCAAGGGTTGTCAGGTCACCTGCCTTTACTGATCAGAGACCCAGAAGGTTCATTCCTGGCTGATCTGGCTTTAGATTTGAGTGATGCTTGCTTCCTGCCACCAGTGTCCCCGCCTTCTGTCTCTCCCTCAGACTGGCAACTCTCTGGGGTGAGGAAGTCCTTCTAGCAGTTCCCCCTAATGTCACCCCTACCTTGTCTCTTTTACCCTGGACTGGATAGCAGGCAGAGAATTTTACTATCCTGGCGCCTGCTCTCTGCTGAGATGTGAGACATTGGGGTCCTGAAAAGGCAGGGCCACCAGGTCAGTGCTGCCCTCCCTCTCCCTCATGGCAGAACCTAAAGGCTATAGTTCACAGAGCAGGCTTTGGCTTTGTTGGGATTCCCTTTAGCTCCCCAGCCAAACTGGAAGTGAGGGTGGCAGGTCAGGCCTCTGAGGCCCGAGCAGGGGCAGTGGTCTGAGGAGACCTGGCCTGGAAGCAGAGGAGGTCCATAGCAGAAAGCCAGAGCTCAGCCTCCCGCACCCAGAGCCAGCCCTGGCCACCCACTCATTCCCAGACACTTTTTTTTTCCCCTACAGGGTGCGTGTGCTTGCTAGAGAGACAGAGAGACAGAAAGCGAGAAATCACCCCCCAGGGGGGATGGCCACACTGCAATCCCTTCTCCTCCATTCTCCTCTTGGGATCCTGGGCACGCATGCACATGCGCCTGACATGAGTTTAAGCCATCGGGTCCAGAACCACTGTCGACCACATGGGAGTTCAGTGACATAGCCATTATGCTAACTGCTGGTTCCCCCAGACACTTCTAAAGAGAATGAGTTAGAAGGCGCAGGGCGTATCTGACCTTACCTCCCACACTGCGGCTGGCCTGGAGAGCTAAGGTCAGGACGCAGGCCTCATGGGAACCCACAACTCATTTTACAGGGTCCACCCTGCATAATGCCTGTGGATGTTACTTGCCATCATAGCTCCCTGCTCACTCCTCCTCGTTTTGCACATTGGGCCTGACTTGCAAACATCTTTAGGCCCTAAGCACTGCAGGAAGAGACACTTTGGGACTAGCAGTTGACATAATGGCTATGTTGCTGGACTCCCATGTAGTCCACTATGGTTTGAGTCCTGGACCCGGTAACTTAAACTCATGCCAGGCATGTGTGTGTGCATGCCCAAGATCCAGAGAGGAGAATGGAGGAGAAGGGATTGCAGTGTGGTCATTCTCCCTGGGGTGTGTGTGTGATTTCTTGCTTTCTGTCTCTTTGTTGCTCTCTGTCGCTCTCTGTCTCTCTGTCTTTCTGGTGAGGAACACACCCTATAGCAAAAAACCTCTCCGGAAAAAAAAAAAAAAAGGAAGAGACGCCTCTCTTTATTTGTGAACCCACCTTGATGACTCCTTTTTTTCTCTTAGCGCCTTTAAGAACAGCTGTTTTATCCCAGAGCCCCAGGGTGAGACCTGGAGGTGCTTTAGAGTCATGCATGCTGATCCAGTGGCTCCTTCTGTGACTGGGGCAGAATGGGGCAGTCAAGGCAAAGAAGGGAACCCTGGGATGGAGGGAGGCCGAGACAAGAGGTCTGGTTAGTACAGAAATGGACTCTCTCTGGCATGGTGGGTACTCATTGAGTCCTGTTAGCTGTCCATCCAGAGGAGCTCACCGCAGGCCCTCCCTGTCTCTCTGTGGTCAAGGGCCAGTCGCTGGGGTGAGAGAATGCTCAGCTTTGGGACAGGCTCTACATTCTTACTGGCCTGGCCTCAGAGAAGGTGAGCTATTGGCCCTAGTTCACGTGGAGTAGATGGCAGAAGAGCTGGCACTAGGACCCAGGGGGCAGGGGCTGCCTCCTAGGCTGGAAGGTGGCTGCTATGTCTGGAAGGACCTCTCCAGAGGCTGTGGAGTTCTGGCTAGCTCTACCTGGGGAGTGACAGGGAGTCCCAGCACTCTGGGGCCAGATGTTCCTAAGAGCCTAGTCTAGTCCATCGGAGGCGTGTGTGTGTGTGTGTGTGTGTGTGTGTGTGTGTTGTGTGTGTGTTGAGGGGTAGTGGTGGACAAGGTCCAAAGAATCTGGCATCTGAGGGAGTCCTGGTTAAAGCTCCCAGGTGGCAATGAGACTGGAGGGGAGACTGTGCTCCAGTTAGGCCAGCCTGTGAATCTTCAGCCTGGTGGGTAGGATCAACTTCTGACAGTTTGCACACCCACTGGGAATTGGGCTGGGGCGTGTGGAGGCTTGGTGCGCCTCTGGGTTGGTGGAGGTGTAAGCTGTGGGCATCTCTGAGTTGCTGTGGGGCTGTCTTCCCTGCCAGTTAGTCGCGGGGGTGTGTGCCCATCTTTGGATCTCTGTATTGTTGTGCGGGGGTGGCTTTGGGTTGTTCTGGGGACAGCGTGCCTGTGTGTAAATAGGTTGTTGCAGAGGTATGCACCTGCGTGTATGGGGGGGGGTGGAGAGAAGGGGTTTTCGATTAACTTCCAGAATCCCTCTTGTAGTGCCTCACCACCCTTCCTCGCAGAGCCCACTCTATCTGGGCTCCTCCTCACCCGTCCCCAGTCCCTGCCTGAGGACGGCCCCTCCCGGCCTGAGTCCCTACCCGGGGCGGCGGGGGCGGGCGCTAGGACCCTGCGGGGCG